ACCAAATAATGATCTTTAAAAAAGCATCATATGACCCCTTTAATATATATGCATTTGAAATATATTTAATACACAAATTTTAATATTACAATTATGAAAAAGTGGTTTGAATGAATGATTCAATGACTCACTCAAGATTTACTTGTTTCATTACTGGATGAATCAGTGTTTTTGAACGAATCTCTTGAATGAATGATTCAATGACTCACTCAAGATTCACTTGTTTCATTACTGGATGAATCAGCGTTTTTGAACGAATCTCCTGAATGAATGATTCAATGACTCACTCAAGATTCACTTGTTTCATTACTGGATGAATCAGCGTTTTTGAACGAATCTCTTGAATGAATGATTCAATGACTCACTCAAGATTCACTTGTTTCATTACTGGATGAATCAGCGTTTTTGAACGAATCTCCTGAATGAATGATTCAATGACTCACTCAAGATTCACTTGTTTCATTACTGGACGAATCAGCGTTTTTGAACGAATCTCCTGAATGAATGATTCAATGACTCACTCAAGATTCACTTGTTTCATTACTGGATGAATCAGCATTTTTGAACGAATCTCTTGAATGAATTATTCAAAGACAAATACATTTTAACAGCCCCTTTTTGCCACCTACTGGTGTAACAATGTAATGATAAATCTGTATTTGAACTGTCAAATTACTTTCAAAAGCTGATTTACTCTATTTTGATCGCTACTGTACACATCAGAGTTTATATCCGAACTATAAACTTTTATCCCAGTACTTCTGTGATTATTTGAGTGTTTGTAAAACAGAAATAATGAGACTGTGTTGTTCACGTTGGTGTTTGAATCATGTTTGTGATCTTTAACGATCTGTTAAATTAAAGTGCTTTGTCATGTTGGTGGTGACACCTCTCGTGCAACATGTTTAGCTTATCATCACAAATATTATACTTTAAGCTTTTTCAGCCTCTGATCGCAAGTGTGGCCAAACTTTGGAGTGCTTAGATTAGCGAGCAAGCGCACACAGGAATCAATTGGTGGAATCGAAATTGTAATTTTACAACAAGTATCTAATTCCTGACTTTAAGTATCCGATTCTGGAATTGGAATCGACTTTCGATTCCCAACTTTAGAGATGACCAACTTGAGGATGATGGAACAACTAGATTATTTTCAAGCAAATACTTAAACAAGTTCATTCGGGTTAAACCCACACTACAAAAAATTATTCTCTTACTTAGTGTTTTTGTTTTGTTTTCTAGTATAAATATCTAAACATTCTTGAATCGAGATGCATTTACTGTACAAGTAAAATGATTTAAGATATTATGTCTTGTTTTCTGCAAAAAAGTATCAATATTTTGTTCGTTTTTCCTTAAAACAAGCAAACATATCTGCCAGTTATGTCTGAAAAAACATCTTGTTTAGCCTTTGAATTAAGATTATTTTTCTTACCCCACTGGCAGATATTTTTGCTTGTTTTAAGGAAAAACGAACAGAATATTGATACTTTTTTTTTTTTTTTTACAGAAAACAAGACAATATCTTAAATTAAATTTTTTTCAGACATGAAAATATCCAGATGAAGTGGCATTAGTGACCCTTTGAAATAATAATAATAATTATTATTTTTGGGAAAAGTGTGTGAAAAATTGTGTTTTATGGTCGGTCACAAGGATAATGTGTATACTGAATTATCATATTTCTGCAGTCATCATTTTTTTTTATATATCTCAGCCCAACTATTTGAAACTCTACTTCATCACACTCTAGGGTTACTATTATGCATAAAAACCCTTATACAACACTGATAGTAATACTGAGATAAAAGAAAAAATAAACAACCATCAACATATTTCAAAATTGTTACTTTATTGTAACATATATCATCAAATTTTTATATTAGTGCTACCAGTATTACAACATCAATATTGTAACTTATTTGTAACATTTGAACTTTTGATTTAGTGCAATATTTTGTGATCTTTGTCACATCTTTATGTTAACATATATAAGCCTTTTGTTTTGGAGCTTTGATGCAGTCATCATCTTCTCAAGGTGCAAACAGGAAGTAAACTGCTCTGGTCATGTGACAATCTGCACTAACCATGTGACACTGCACATATTTCATATTATATGATTGTGCATGAAAAATGACAGAATAGTGACTAACATATTTAATACAGATAAAGAAAGGTTCATTCTGATCTTATTCATCAGATCTCACTAGCACTGCAGCGTCACGATTACTAGTTTTTTGCACTGAGGTGAAACAATCACGTATGATTTCTCAGATCGGCTTATGTTGGATTAAAACTTAAAGTTCTGTTGAGTTTGGAAAATTCTGTACACCGTAATCATCAGAATATCTCTTCTCCCGTCTCTGAAATGTTCCATATTTTGAAATCATCCCACGAACTCTCATTTTAATAAGCGTTTAAGTCAACTAGATGATTGCAGCACATTGAAAACAGCGAATCACCAGTAAACGTTTCCTTTGAAAAAGGTAATACAGACTCCAAAATAAATGAGGCAGTTGCGCCCGTGTCACGTAAAATTATGACTGGAACACTCTCACCATTCGGGAGAGACACAAGACCATTCGAGACAAAAGGTGAAACACTGGAATTTGAGCAGAACATTTCATTCATTTCTTAAACATTCAACGTAAAGCGAGAGGGAATCAAACCACTAGCTATGGGCACCGAAGCAGCCGACGCTGTAGGCTTTGCCAGTGTATAACGGTTTTGACCTTTTGCTTGAATCTTCTTTCCAGTGCCCATGACCTAAACAATATTACAGATTATAAAACGGATAGTTCCGGTGCTTGATTCTGATTGGCTGAGCCGCGTTCGAAGCTGTTGTAAATGACTCTACAAAGTAACATACACCTTTGTTTACGTTTGTGTGTTGCTCGGCAACCACTTTGTTGCAACCACAACTGTTTCTGAGGAACTACATTGTTTGGTGGAAGAATACTGTTTTTATTAATATCATTACACTTTATTTGCTCTGTTTTATTTTGTGAAACCTTACTATGTATATGTGAATAACCGTTTTATAAAAGCAATAAGCCCCGTGAAGCCGTGGGTTACAGTGAATTTATAACAGCTAAGAGGGTTTTAGACTCCGCTTCACATCGTTCCTAACAACGCCCCTTAGCTGTTATAAATTCACTGTAACCCACGGCTTCACGGGGCGTATTGCTTTATTAGAGCTGAATCGGTTTTACCAGAAGATTCACTGTTGTGGCTGTCAACATATTTAATTAAAGGTTGCATAAAATGAGATGCAACCTTTTCACTGCATTCATCTTTCAAGCGGCTAGCATCAACACAAGATTTATGTATCAAGTCATATTCATCTGCTGCTTCAGCTGCAGTAGATACATGCTGCGATTCATTCATACACTCTGTGATACAGATTTGACAGCGTGTTTTTAAACTGCTCCAAAACAACTAAATCAGCAAGATCCTCATACGATTCAACAGCTGAAGTATTACACCAGTGCGTAAAAAACAACTCTAATTCACGTGCCAATTCTGTATGTGTTTGAGTGAAACGTTTTCTTAAATCCACAAACATTTTTGGCGATTTTTTTTTTCTGGAACCAATTCATATGCTTTAAGAACCGCGATTTTAACTTTATCATAATTCTGACTATCAGCCCAGCTTTAAGCAGAATAAGCTTTCTGCGCCAGATGTGAGGCATTTTGCATTTTAAGTGTGCAATTCTTGGATTTGTGTAAAGTCTTCTTTCATAAGACATGATCTCCTGTTCTAATTTTCGTTTCTCAATTTCTATCTTGAACTCTAATTTAGGATGTTTCAATTGGAGAAGTGCTAACTCTTTTTGTTGCTCAAAGGTCAGAGTTACAGCGCAGTAATCAGCAAACCCAACAATTCAGATGACATAATCCCTTTATTTATAAGAGACACTTCTAAAACAGTTCGAATATTCTCTTTCAGCTTCTTATCATTCCTGGAAAGGACAATATCATAACGCTTTCCGATTTCAATCAATTAAACAGGTTTATAACTTGCCCAGACGTATTTTCGCTAAATTCACTTATTTCGACTGATGTCATATTTAATAATTATTCAACGATTTCAATCAATAATTCTATACAAAATCCTTTCAAATTAAATCCTTAACTTCACAGCTGTCAATATAGAGAGAGAAACAAATTAAATGCCCTGAAGATTCAGTTTCATAGCTTACCTATACATAAATTTAACTAAGTAGACCCACGAAGATACTGAGGAAGATATTCATGTTTTGCAGTGTATGCAACATTTAATGCCATGACTTTATGAATTTAAGATTTAAGACTTTTAAATGTCTTAATTTGTTGAAGGGCGAATTATGACTTTTTTGAGACCCGCAGAAACCCTGTTATATACAGATATACTATAAAACACTATAACCTAACACTATCAGAAAACTTTATGCATTTTTATAATAAAAAAAAATGCTGACTTTATTTACTTTGATTTAAACCAATTTTACAAATGAGGATGTCTCCAAAAGGAGGTCAAATTTAGTTCACTGCTAGGTTAAATTTTATCCCCAAAATATGGCTAAGAGTGAAAACCTATTAATTAATTAAATCATAAATGCAAAATAAAAATGCTAAAATAAATAAAATGCTTACTGAAAAGATCAAATATTTTATTTGTTCGCCTGCATATCATGTGACCGTTAATATCAGAGAACCGTGAACATGTGAATGCGTCAGTAAATTATTGAAATATTAACTTAAAATCCCAGGGTGACTTCAAAGAAATATATTAAACTCAGGGGTTCGGCTGAAAAAATAAATAAATAAAGCGCTCACTGGGTTGTAGAACAAAACTCTAGTGTTTATAGTCTCACTTTTCACGGTTGAAAATCATGAACTCTTGCTGGACGACTTCAAGGCACTCCTGAAGATACTCGTTCTCCTGAGAGAAAAACAAAGAAACAACTCGTTAATCAGCTCTAACTAGCCCTCAGACGGTTGAGATTCCTGCTGGAACACACCAAAAATAGCCTGCCGTACTTCAGGAGAAGCTCCAGCACTGAAAGCTTCATAATTTAATCATCCAGGTAATATAATGCTGCATCTACAGACCACAGGTGCTCGTCTTCAGGCCTCTCGAGCTCTAGAGCTGATTCATCCTGATCTGATTAGAGACACGCTTTGTGATCGCGCAAACACACGGAAAATATCTGGAGAACGGCGTGTGTGTGATGGATGGAGACGTCAGTCAGGCTCAATATAATAAAGCCTGAGGGATGAACACAATCAGTGCACCGGCCTTTAGTCCGAGACGCTCTTATCTCAGCGATGTGAGTATATGTGTGTTGTGCAGTATATTAAGTGTGTGTGTGTATATGTGTGTGGCAGGCAGTATATTAAGTGTGTGTGTGTGTATATGTGTGTGTTGTGCAGTATATTAAGTGTGTGTATATGTGTGTGTTGTGCAGTATATTAAGTGTGTGTGTGTGTGTATATGTGTGTGTTGTGCAGTATATTAAGCGTGTGTGTATATGTTGTGCAGTATATTAAGTGTGTGTATATGTGTGTGTTCTGCAGTATATTAAGTGTGTGTGTGTGTGTGTATATGTGTGTGTTGTGCAGTATATTAAGTGTGTGTGTGTGTGTGTGCGTGTTTGTGTGTGTGTGTGCCAGTTTCACCCACAGACTGAGAATCTTTGCTGTTGTCTCTCGATCTGTTTTTTGCCAGTCGCTTCTTCTTCTTATGAAGAGGACGAGACTCCAGAATCATCTCCTCCAGTTCAAAGGTGGGATCGCAATGCAGACGACCCTTCTGTTTGAGAAACAGAGTAAGTGTTATAGAGAAACATCTGAAAGCAAATATTCAACAAAAGCACAATCTGACCGTTTCTTCTGTAAGTTCATCATATGTGTCTGAACTTGTGAACAGGGTCCAAAATTAACCTAAATGTAGAACATTTATTGGCCATAAATATTGTTTTACTGGCTTTTACTTCCCTTTGGAATTATTTATTAAAGGGGCTGTTTTTATCAGCTGTTTGGACTCTCATTCTGACGGCACCCATTTCTTCAATTCTGTTCTCATGAAGAAACAAACTACTGAAATTATTGAAATTATTTCTCAATGCTTTTGCATTTGCTTAAAAAACTTCTGCAATTCACTTTGCATTTGCCCAGTAAGAGTGCAAAGATATCCCAAACCAAGACAAATGCATTGAAATACAATATTTTTCCATTATAATTTTTTGTATATGTGTGTGTGTGTGTTTGTGTGAGTGTGTGTGTGTTTGTGTTTGTGTGTGTGTGTGTGAGTGTGTGTGTGTGTGTGAGTGTGAGTGTGTGTGTGT